TCCACATTTTTAGGCCCATTTTTTCTCATTACATCCTTGCGCTATTTTCAGTGGCCGAGGGGTGAGACCTCTCCGAAGTAGGTGATGTGGATTCGCAAATCCGGTTCCTCCGCACTGCAAATTTGGGTTTGATTAGATAATAGATTGGAAACTAATTCAAATTGTATACTTACTTCTGGTGGTTTCTCTACGAAACCGGTTTGCAAATTATGTCCGCCTCCGCTTACTAAACAAGCCCGAAACGTAAACCTCGGAAATGATCCCATTTTTAGACGGCAATCGACAGAGATCTCGAACCACGTGACGGATAAAAACGACAGACGCATTAATTGTATAAGTGATAGATAAAGTTATTGCTTTTTGATTACATCCGCTTTTGTTTCGACTTAGATGGAAAATTATCTGGCATTATCAAAGCACTCTATCAGGATTAATAATAGCGACTGCTTGAGGGACTTAAGTGGATAGATAGTAAATATCAGTTCGTATGATTGATTGTAAAATTAATGCAAAATTTTCGTAGAACGGCAACGGTCCTGTGTTGGAACCTTGAGGACAACTGCGACCATATTTTCTTGTAGTCAGTATTCGCGTTGTCGGTGTCTGTCAAAAGCCGAAAATGATAATTTACTGTACTGCGTATCTGACAATATTGACACGGAGCTTATACATCAAATAGATCACAGATAACCGTGATAAAACTGTCGTATTTTATCCCAAGCCTGTAAGTGTGTAAATAGTACTATAAAATAAATATGAGAGGAACCAAAATTACAATTTCCAACTGATTTCAAGAAACAGAATTTTGCTTACCGAGGCTCCAATTATGCTCTGTTTGACGTTACCCCAATACCGAGCCCAATACGTTTCGAACATGTTTTGTTTTTGACATCTTATCATCCCTTAAAAAACGCTAATACACTTTTACACATGCATTTTTTTAAAATTATTTTCAAGCGCAAATCAAACAAGATACGAAGACCATACGGCTTTCAGTAGGGGAATTTTTTGCCATTCAGCTCGTATTCGGAACCAGACTTTTAATCCGGCTCATATTAAATAGCACTGATCCTTGAAGTCGTAGTAATCGATTGGCGAAGGTTTGACATCGCTATCTCTTTTCGTTCTCGAGTTAGGCGAGGAAGAGACAGACAGACAGACGGACAAAACCATCACAAAAGCGCTGTTTGTTACTTTTGTTTGTGGTTACATATTACTCGTACATTTATTGTCTAAAGTCGAGCAATGTTGCTCCAGGTTAGTATTTGGATGTCTAATCTCCGAGGTAACCACTCGAAAATTCTGCTTGTTGTCTTTTTTGTTTATTTTAAATTCATTTTCTAATATAATATAATCATAAAAATTGCATTATACGTTGTTTTCTCCGATTGTTTGGTCGTTTCTTCTAAAACACAAAAAAATTGAATTTTGAACTTCTGGGGAACAGCCCTGCTTGGTTGAAAACTAATTAGAATTTTAGTTTGGAAAAATCAAGGGCGGCTTTAAAATTTTCATGCAATTTGAAGCCGATAGGAACACTTCAATATTGAAATTTTCAATTTACGTATACATTAAATATTGGAAATAAAATATCAAAGTGTACCTTGACGAGTAAACCATTTCAAATTTTATGTACACTAAAATTTTAAACAATTCTAATTGCGTGTGCATGGGCGTTCGAAAAAAAATTCTACAAAAAGTTCTAAAAAAATTCTAAAACATCTAAAAAATTAGACGATCATTACTTTTGTCAATGACTACATACAGACGGAAAAAATCATTCTTTAAATGTTGCTAAGCTACCTCAAGCTAGAAAGCTAAAAATAGGGCTTGTGTTTATTGACGTTTTTCAAGGGATGATGTGTGCAGTTTTAGTTTCATTGGCAACTTTAATACAATTTGTGTCCAAACACCCTTAAATAGGGATTATAATAACGTTTTTCTATTTCGGTGTCACAATGATGATTTTGTACAACTGTTTTCAAAACAGTTGTACAAAGACAGTGATTATAGTCGTTTTTTTTGGTAACTCATTTCTTAAGTTGGCAGTTACTAGTTAGTACAAGTAGGTAGGTAGGTACTTCGTTGGGTACTTCCATGTTTGAACTTCAAAATGTCAGTCTTACTACGCTGCCAACAACTTAACGGCATAAAAAGTGTTCCCAACATAAAACATGTTAGTTCTAATGTTCCCTATAGTTTCTGATAATGATGTTTTTAATTAAATTAAAGCACCGAAATAGAAAAAATAGTATGAAAAACGCGTGTTACAATGCTTTATTGTAATACTCCTATCTTGCGGACACTCGTGGCTACGCTTCGCGTCGCCACTCGTGCCACAAGATAATCGTATTACAATAGGTCGCATTGTAACACTTGTCTTTCAATATACTATTTTCCCCATTTAACTCAATTTTTCCCTTATCAAATAAACTGATGACTATATATTTTTCTAATTAGAAAAACATAATCAGTTTATTGGTCCAAAAAAATTTGAAAAAACATTAGTGCTGTATCTTAAAAACTAAGCAGGCTATGGAAAATATAAAAAAAAAACATCTATCTCTTTCAGTTCTCAAAATATCTCCGAAAAACGTCGAAAACAAGCAATTTGAAACACCCTGTACACAAAAAAGGTTTAAAATCATGTGGTATTTTCCAATATCGTGTCGCAATTGTAATTGTACCCGAAATTCCGGTAAACTATGCAAAAATTGGTTTGCTTGTATGCAAATGTTGCAATTATCGTCAGTTGCAACTTCGCAATTATTTATAAAAATTATTTGAATCAGCTGTACTTAATTTTCCTTTTGCGGTTTGTATGCGACAATTTATTTATTATAAGTACAATACATACAGGGTGTAGCATGTAAGACCTCTTAGATCATAATTTGTTACTATAAAAGATATGGACAAAAATGTTGGAGCAAAATTGTGCACAATTACCGTTGCCTTGTTTCTAAAATAATTCTGGCCACCAGTGGCGTATCAAACTTAGGTTTTTTAAAGGAACGTATCGCAAAGTTGGAATGTATTTGAAAAGTACTTATTTTTATGTAACATTATACCCTTAAAGGGCGTAATTGGGGTGGGGCAGGTAAGGCACGGGCGCCCTGTAAAGGGAGGGAGGGGGCTAAAATCGCCAAGTATCCATCGAGGTCCTATCAAAGATTAGTGCATTCTTTCTATGAAATATGCCGACTTTCGCACGTATTTTCGAGATCTTTCTAGAAATTTTCCTTTTTGCTATATAAGCAAATTAAATCGTGTTGAATGGAAGTTCCAACATCGATGCCGAAGTGATTACGAGTAGTGAAGTTCGCGCTCGTATGTGATAAAATAGTGTACAAGTGAGTGATAAATAATAAATAACTGTTATTAATCGATCCATTTAAGAACTTCTAAATTCAGTATTAATTATAAATAAATAAATCACTTACATTAAATTTACGTTAGAATAATTTGAAAAAAAAAATCAAATGCAACTTCTGTTTTTTGTGTCATTGTGTCCCAATCTCTAAGTTTTAAAATTGACATAGGTGCAATTAGGGTAACCAGTAATAGAAATACAATAGGTTTTGTAAGGTTTATTTTGATTTATAATTAGATAATTTATTAAAGGGCGCAATTTTAATGCTTGCGCTTGGTGCTGTTTGGTCGAGCTACGCCCCTGTTTTAACTTCTCCCAAACGGCTGGACGGATTTTGATAAACTTTTTTTGTGTGTCTCCGGGTGGTTTAGATTTACAATTGGGCAATTTGATTTTTTTAACTTTTTTTTGTTTATGTCGCACTCTGCTATTTCGCGTGCCGATCGATACCTGCGCCAAGTCACTTTCGTTATACCCTGCCGATGTTTTTACATTCTGTATGCTAGGTTTGGGTTAGTTATCATATATCTGTCAATATCGGACTTACGAAGTCGTGGGGGAAAATCGAGTAGGGTGTATATTTCTGTGTAAAAACCATTTATTTTATAGCATAGGTATGTTACATTGACATTATTAGGTTTGAATGAGTAAGCTAAGCCGCTCTTTAACGGCAAGGGTAGATAAAGTGAAACAGATGATTGTGGATTCTAATGACATATGTCATTCTTACTTTAATGGGACGCAGAGCACGATATTAAATGACGTTCAGAACATATCCGTGCGAAAGATCGCGAAGACAAAGTTTAAGCTTGCCATGCCATTTTGCCAATTGTTAAAACTTAAAATATCCATTTATCGTCCTTTTATAATAGGTAACCATTTTTCCCGACCCTTAATGTTTCGTTTGGGCATTACGTTCTAAGGTCTCATCCTAGGCGATTCTGACCACAAGATAATTTACAAAAATTAGTATTGGACTAGTCTTCTCTTGTTGAAAACCTTTCTAGATACTTAATATCTTCGGGCTCGAGACGTCGAAAAATTACCTAGTGTGACCCATCTGGGCTTCATGCTTTCACGCCCTTGTTTTATTTGGAAAGAATGTTTGTTTTAGTCCTTCCATTACCTGGTAATTCACTCCCCCGTGCCTTATAAACCGCCCCTTAACGACTGTTTGGTTATAAGGCTTTGAAGAATGCTATGTTTTGAGCGAATTCAACTCAAAAGCCGATGCCAGAAAAACTCAGGGAAAACAACAATTTTTAGAGTTTTGGAACGAAAACATTGCATTTGGGTAATCTGGAAGAAAATAATGGTCCTGATTCCTTCTCCCACCCAATTTTGTTAGATTCTTGTTTTTGGCTCATTGTAATTGAAAAATAATAACATTGGAGTGCGAGTGATTTTCCACTTGTCCATTTTGTGTACTCGCAAAGTGGTTTTATCACATGGTTAAGGGAATTGATTGGGCGCCCATAGTTACCGTGTCTTAAAACCGTAGGAGTAGATTGTATATAATTGGGGTAATAAATAAGAGCTAACAGATTTTAAAAATTACTTTCAAGCATGCAACCCGCATTTCGACGTATTATCACGGAGGTTAATTACCCTCTCCCTCTTTTTTTTCCAGTAATGTCAGAACGTATGTGCAGCGTTTCGCCGGCCGATACGGGTTGCTCGGTGGAGAGTCCCGCACCGGACCATCAGCACGACCCCCACAGTTCGGAGGAGGAACTGGAAGTGATAAATAGTTCAAAACAGACGCGACCCGATCGGACACCTCGGGCGGCGTCCGTCTGTCTGCCCGAAAAACGAAAATGGTCTCAAATAGGCGACTCTTACGCGCGAAGATATAGTCCCGAAAATGAAGAGAATATGTCTCATTACGGTAATCTCACACCATCGTCGCCATGTTCCCCTTACGGTAATAAACATTACGGGGATGATGCCGTCCATCTCGAGCATTCCGGTTCTTCCGACGACGAAGTTCACCACCTCCTAGCAAGTATGGCCACTCCAGTACAATTTAGGACTTCGCCACCATTGGAAGCGGTCAAGCCTGGTGGACGTATTCTTAATAGTAAAATACGTTCGTTAAGCCCGCCGCCTAAACTAGTACATTACGAAGTTTCCCCTAGAAAACGATCTCGACATACGCGACATCTCCACCTTCAAAGGCCTTGTTTAGATTTTGAAAAAATGCAGCAGGTAAGCCCAATTTTTCTGTTTAATGTTAATAAAAGGACATTGTACCGAATTAACATTTCGTTCCAACTGAGTACGCTTTAACCTTGACTGTGTTTATCCACATTTGGATGGCAGATGTGGGTGATCATCGCCGCCGCCGGATGTTAGTGCTTGTTACCGTCAACAGGGGGCGCGAACGCAAATTTGACGGTCGATTGGAAAAACAAAAGCACGCTTTTCTTAAATAAAACATCAACAGACTTGTTGAAGTCGGGCTTTACCCACACTTGAGCATCGATTTTTTTAAACACAAAGGCGTAATAAGTGACAGTATTTAGAGTAAGCGGTCGGTGACGAGAGAGTGCAAGCCTGCGGGAAATTTCGCGATAGTAGAATTTAAAAAGAGAAAAATTTATGTTCGGTCACGTTTAGTTTTTCGAATGTCATTAGAAGGAAGTCGAAATACTTGCGAGGCTTTCATTTAGACATGCCCGAAGTCTACTTCAAAATACCGTCTAGTGGCTTCTAACCACAAGAAATCTTAATGATGCTCCACCGAAATGGTTAAAAAAGTTCATTCTTCCGTACATGCTCGACATTAAAAGATAGGACTCAAGGACGTCTGGATTTTCTAAATTTCCTACGGGTCGATTTTGCATTTGGAAACCGCGCGCCTCAAACAAAAGCGGGGTAATAATTTGTAGCTTTCACGTCGTAAGCTGATTGTAACTGATCTAAGGGAAGTAATGACGTCATTAGTCGTGGCAATTTGCGGTGCACGTTTGAATTCGTGCCTCAATCAAGCCTCTATATCAGTCAAAGTCTTTCATTAAGTCTCAAATCTATTAGAAATCCTGAATAACCGATTTCTGTCTGCAAAATGAAGTCCGCGGGACGCCATTCTGAATCGCAACTCATTGCCAATATTGGCTTCACATGGGAAGACGAATTAATTTACCACTTAATCTAATACTGTACATCTCCCGGTTAGTTTAGTTCGAGGTTTAGTTTGTCATGTTGAAACGTGAGGAGACGTCAAGTTGTTGACCAAGCGAGATTATAGATTGAGATTTAAATTTTCCATTAGGCTTCTTGTACCGTGTGTCCTATTTTGATTGAAACTGCTGAGTATCACAGCTGTACCACTTATTTGTTAATACCACAAACAGAATCAATCTAGCTACGTTTGTTTCTTAGATACAGTAGTCAAACAAATTTTTGGACTATCGGTTTTGTTTTTTAATGCAACACCCTGTATATCTTAACGTCAATTTTTTTTGCATTCTTTTTCCGTTGATGACCTATATCTTTTAACCGTGGACCAAAAATAAAAACACTTTTTAACGGTTTTTAAATACATAGTAGGTCATGGATTCATGGAGATTTTGTTTTGTTTATTGTATCCATGGTAACTAAGGCAGCCGACAATAAAAATTCCTGACGGAAGAAAGTGTCATTTCAAAAATAATTTGAAAAGTATGTAATATAATATACAGTGTGTCCCAGATCGCGTGGGATTGCATGGGTAACTTTGTTATTATTAAAGATCGAGAATTGGTCAAATGGGCAATGTTTTGCAGTTTTGGATGCTTATTTAAAATTTCCTTATGGAAATTCAAAATGTCGCATAGGTTCGACGTAAATTCAAAAAAACTAAAATTGATCATTTCCTTGAATGTCTTATATCATCGAAAGTATAAGAGATATAAAAAAAAGTTTTATATAAAAGTGACTGTCTTTGATACGTTTAATTTAGAAGTGACGTAAAAAAAAATTCAAGATGGCCACTTTTGAGGAACATTTACCAACTTCCTAAAGTTAAATGGGCGCCATATTGGATTTTTAGATTACTTGATAGATTTTTAAATTCTCTTTTCAACGAGCTATTATAACATAAGATTGAAAATAAGATACCAGTTATATTAACGGTTTTTGTATTTTAATCAAGTAGTCTGTGACGAATAAAAAAAAACAAAACAAAAACTATTCGAGGCAACAAAACAATGAAAATAATTACACCAGATGTTTAAAATACTGGCCATTATTAGTGAAACACACTTCCAGACAGTTTAGTTTAGGCAACGTGTTGCCATTGATGATTATTATTATTATTGTAGTGGTAGCTACTTCCACTTTACTTTTATTTTTTAATTAAGTACTTACTTTTATAATTTAATGTACTGTACATAATTCGTGAATTGTGACCTGAGCAGCCAGTTTGTTGGTAGGTAGTATAAACTAACCCTTCCTTCGAAACATACGTTGTCGAGAAAAATCCTTTAAGGAAGTTTATTGGAGAATTTGTAAATAATGGTGAGCAGTTAAAGATCCATCGAAGATTACCGGTCCAACTACATGACTTCCCATTATGCCATAAAATACATTAATTAAAAAAAATATTACTTGATTTTGGTGTGAAACTACAACATGTAGGTTTTCCTGTGACGAGTATAGTGTTCATTATGTCGATTTGAACACTCCACAGTTAGAAAAATAAGATTCATCTATCCATATGCTCGGACTAGTAAAACTGTTAGTTTCGATATTCTTGCGGATAAACCACCTACTGACCTACAAAATGTGACCTGGGACAATGCATCAATGGTAAAATAAAGCAAAGTGTCTTGAAATGTGTTTAACTGGATAATGGCATGACATTTTTTCCAGGGGATAGTTTGTAGTTATACCACCATTTGTAGCTATGTAAGTATGGATAATAAGATAGTCAATTAAATAAGTGATGATATAAAAATCAAAATTTTTCTAGGCCTACTTATATACAATTTTTTAAACATCTGATGTAATTATTTTCATTGTTTTGTTGGCTCGCAAAGATTTTGTTTTGTTTTTTTTAAATACATCACAGCCTACTTGATTAAAATATAAAAACCGTTGATATAACTGGTATCTTATTTTCAATCTTATGTTATGATGGCTCGTTGAAAAGAGAATTAAAAAATCTATCAAATAATCTAAAAATCCCATATAGCGCCTATTTAAGTTTAGGAAGTTGGTAAATGTTCCTCAAAAGTAGCCATTTTGAATTTTTTTTTGACATCAATTCTAAATTAAGCGTATCAAAAACAGTCACTTTTATATAAAACTTTTTTTATATCTCTTATACTTTCGATGATATAAGACATTCAAGGAAATGACTAATTTTAGTTTTTTTGAATTTACATCGAACCTATGCGACATTTTGAATTTCCATAAGGAAATTTTAAATAAGCATCTAAAACTGCAAAACATTGCCCATTTAACCAATTCTCTATCTTTAATAATAACAAAGTTACCCATGCAATGCCACGCGATCTGGGACACACTGTATAATTACTTATATTAAAAAAATGATCACTTTGCTTTTGCTTTGCTTCTACTAAAACAAAATATTCGGTTATTACATTAGAGCATACATAACTTTCACATTGTGGAATAAAAATTTGCTGATGCAATTGCAAGATACAAAATAATTATTACAAAAGAGAAGTCAAAGTACTTTCAGTAGGTGGACAAATTTTTGAATGTGTCATATCTATTTGCCGAAAAGAACCTTAAATTTGTTATTGTCATCCCAGGATAAAGTTCATTGGCTCATTTCCCGAAGTTGTCAAAAACCTCAAACCAAAGAGCAATGGGTAGGCATCAATTAAGTTACGTTAACTCTATCCGGATTAAATTGAAGATTTCAGACCTACGCTAACTTTTATCACAAATTACTTCATAGATAACGAAATTGCTCATTTTTTCCATTTTTTCATCTTCATAAAGATAATCATTTTAATTTTTTTTTAATGAAGAAACCGTAAAATTAAATTGGGACCTCTCCTTCCAGTTTATCAATTCTAAATGGTACCCCTTTTTGAGTGTCACCGAGATAAACTTTAAACTGTTTGTAGTACACTTTTAATTTTTATCGTTCGTAAACAGTAATGTGTAACAATAATTAATGTAACCGATTTATGAACTTTTTTTTAGATAAGAAGGAAAGTTGTAAATTTTTATCTAAATCACTTTCATTATTTCCTAATCGATTTTCCAAGGTTCAATTTTATAATTGTTTTCAAAATGAAATTACTGGGTACGGGTTGCGTTTATCAGCGCTTAGGTAATAACCCCTAATAAAAATACTAATTTGTTGTTATTAAAAGTAATCTCCAGGGGAGTTATTTAAAGAAAATTATCTGGACGCTTCCATCTGCTTTTGTAAACATTTTCGTTCTCAAACTCGTCGCTATTGTATACATTTTTTTGCAGTAAAAATGAAAATTAAAAATATCTTGGCACCAGATCCTGGACCATTTACAATTGGCATTAAGTAAAACTTATGGTTTCACTATAAATATTTTTAAATACATCTTTCATTGCAAAACGTAATGACCGCGAATGATTGGTTTTACTGTTTGTATGTTTTTTTTCTGGATAGCTTATTAGGACACTAAAAGTAACTCTTATAGGGTAGGGGGGGCATTCTTTCTTTCCCCCCAGGGTGCTACGCCTCTGCAGCATTTCTGAGGAAGAGAGGATCTTATAATTCGTCACCTGAAACTACCACGAGAATACCCCCCCCCCCCTCCCCAAGACTCTTTGGTGCTACGTCCTCTGCAGCACTTCTTAGGAGAAGAGGATCAGATAATTCTGTCTATCACGAGAATCCTGAAGGCTAAACACTTTGTTGATGAAAGTGTCCCCCCAGTACACTACATTTTTATTGCAATTTGCAGAAAAACACCATGAACTGCTTTCAACATCATTATCTGGAATGGTCATCCATTTTTCCTATGGAGTAATTTGGGACTCTTTTACCTAGAACGTAAGTCCTTCACAGCACTTGGGCTTTCCACGCAAGAAGAAAGGTTACCAGTTAACTGCTCGAAACTATGACTCGTGCCAACGTAATCACGATAGGAGGACTGTCACGTTATTTCTCTAGTTCAACTACCTTATGTTACCGCTTGGGATTCCGAGGAGAGTCATAGTTACTCCCGCCATGTATGGAATACCTCCCACATCCCCCTGTGCTACTCTCTTTAGAAGAGAGGACTTGATAATTGGTACGATGACATGAGCATCCTGAAGACTAAATATTTTGTTGATTAAATTGTTAACCGGGAGCTCTGAGGGGTATGAAAACCCTAAATTTTTATTGCTATGCAGAAAGACACTGCGGGGTGGTATTCCAGACCCCCCCGGTGCTACGTCCCCCGCACCAGCTCTTAGGCAGAGAGGATCTGATAATTCGTACCCTAAAAGTACATTTTGTTTATGAAATTGTTAGCGTTATACGTTATACAACTACATTTCTATTGCGATTTGCCAAAAAACACCATAAACTGCTCTTAACATCATTTTCAAGAAACAGTCATCCATTTTTCCTTTACTCTGTACAGTATTTTGTGCCCTTTGGATCGTATTTCGGTTATGATCAATAGAGGGCGCATTGTTAAAAGTTTTATTAAAGTCACTAGATATAGAAAGTACCGCAATCATCCGCCATTTTTGGACAAATGTGCTGCCAACTTAAATTATTGCTATGCAGAAAGACACTGCGGGGTGGTATTCCAGACCCCCCCGGTGCTACGTCCCCCGCACCAGCTCTTAGGCAGAGAGGATCTGATAATTCGTACCCTAAAAGTACATTTTGTTTATGAAATTGTTAGCGTTATACGTTATACAACTACATTTCTATTGCGATTTGCCAAAAAACACCATAAACTGCTCTTAACATCATTTTCAAGAAACAGTCATCCATTTTTCCTTTACTCTGTACAGTATTTTGTGCCCTTTGGATCGTATTTCGGTTATGATCAATAGAGGGCGCATTGTTAAAAGTTTTATTAAAGTCACTAGATATAGAAAGTACCGCAATCATCCGCCATTTTTGGACAAATGTGCTGCCAACTTAAAAAAATTGACAAAATCTGACTAGCTGTCATTTTTTATAACCTAACTTCATAGTACTGTCATGTTTTATAAAAATTTATACAGATATCTCCAAACAGGTGGAACAATCCCTAACATTAAAGTTACTAGAATTTTTGGGCAAAAATCATGCGTTCTCTCTCTAACACACGAGCCCAATGGATTGCGGTACTTTCTATATTTAGTGACTTTAAGTTTTATCTACAGTGACTTTCCGTAGGAACAATTTTTGTTCAGATCGGCGGCCATGTTGCATCGAGTATACAGATATGAAAAAAGATTGTTGCAGGTCTGAGTTTTAATAAACTAGACAGAAACCGAATTACGCATTATATGAGTGTGAAGTGAGATAGAATACATAACAAACTAAAAGCATCTTTTGAGTAGGCTATGACACATTTAATTTCTACTGTCAAATGCAATGCATTGGTGAAGTTATATCTCTCTCACACACATATAATACTTATTGGAATGCTAATGGTATTATTTGAAGTTAGCATTCAATGAACGCTAAGTTCAAAGGCTTCATGGATCCTTTACGAAAAAATACATTGCCGTTCCCTATGGCGCGTTCTACCTAGGACACGCTGTATAATATCGTATTGTAGTGTACGCAAACGTCATATGTGTATTGTGTGTTGCCTACTTTCTAATTTGAATTTTTAATGGAATATGGCGACTGGGCTCTTATTGTCGCCACTGTGTATTGAAAGTAACACCAGGAGCTTGTCGGGTATTGAGTATTTGTTACAAACGGAGATTTAATGGTCCTTTATGAGAACTATGACAAGAGTCTTAAGGACATAACATTTTGAGGAAGAATGTAGCGTCAAAAGTCTGAGAGTGTGGAACACCCCGGTTCAATTTCTCTTTGTCTATCTGGATTTGCGATTCAGATTAACACTTAGAGGCGCTGGTGTAATTTACAAATGGCGTGTACAGGTGGTAGTCGTTTGTACACTTTCGGTATGAAAGTGAATTGAATTTATCCTGCCGTTTTCGAGAAAATATAACCCTTAAGAACCCAAGGCTATCTAGAATTACTTTGGGCACGTAATTAACTCTAATTTTCTACAAATAAAGATCACAATTTATCATTCAATTTCTAGAACTGTATAACAACTCGCCGCCATTCCCTTGCGTCGATTAGACTTTAAAATAACCTTAGCGTGGCACAATTACACCGACCACAATTTAAATAATAGGTATCTTTCGATCGGTCCTGCTTTAATAAATTACGATTTAAATTTTTCTTACTATTTGTGGCATAGCTAATCGCACAAAGTGCACGCAACAAACATCTTTCAATGTAAATATGCAGGTTCACAAATTAAATGTTTAAGTAGTTTGTGTGTTAATAGCGTAACTACACTGATAGCAGTGATAGAAAGTTATTCAAAGCGGAGTGTGTCAAAGAATGGAGATATTATGTCTTAATAATAATAATAATATATTTATGCTTACAGGGAAAAAATTGCTTGCATTCGTCACAAATTACAATCGAAATATTACACATAAAAACACTTAAAATTTAAGACTTAAAAGTTTCTCAAAGTTATAGAAACAATTAATCAAAAGACGGTTAGACGATGATTATTTAACTTGTCCTTTGGTTGTGTAATTGCACTGTTCAAAATTAAAGATTTTTGAAATATTATGCGTTAGACGACGATTTCTTAAATTATCCTATTGATGGTTGCATAATTGCACTGGTCACATTAAACTACAATTTTGGCCATTGTAAATAAACAAAACGGCGGTTTTATACCACCAATAGTAATTACAAGTGCTGCCACCAGAGGTCCGAATCGCGAACAGCCGAAGAATGACTGGAGAGTTTTAATAGTCTTTTCCAATCGATAGCTTAAGTGTGCCGCTTTAACGGCATTTTTCAATGTGTACCTAAAATGTCTTTTTTTGAATTACAGTTAAAAGCTCGTTCAGTGACGCCCTGGCGAAACAATAGTGATCACGGAGGTGAACTTTCTGTATTTTGTTGGTGAGAAAAGCTAAAAGGGCGATCGTCGTCGCCCTGCAACTTTCTTAACGGTCATTGCGAATTAGAAACGACACCGACTGCAGCAGTCGCGACACCATCGCCGGCAACCGGAACGTCCCGTCACGCGATCCTAACAACGTTAACGTCAGATCAGTCGTCGTCCGAGTGATGTTTGTTTGTCCAGTTTTCCTGCGCTTGAAGTGGGTTCGACACACGAAAAGCTGCGGTTTTTTTTTCCTCAAACGTTAAAACTACCGGTGGTCCATGGTACAGTGAGTTTTGTAATGCTTCGGGTAAAAAGTATCGGTTGGAATTTTTAAGTAATAATGTAAATATATCTTTGAAAACTAATCTACAATCACCGTCAGTTCAAGGAATTATCAATATTCGACAAAAAAGTTGTTTTCATTGTTCCCCACACAATTTTTAAAATTGCACAAAATTATCTATGTCAAACACGCGTTTTTATATGATGCGCAATCATTGTACTGCTTAACATCTTTTTAATAACGCTAATAAAATGTTATTCTGTATTATGGTTGTTTGTTCTACCGTAACTGCGTATAATAACTTTAGAAGTCGAGAACGGCGTTTTAGGGCCGTTTGTCCAACTATGTTAGCGTTTTAACAATTTTTTGGCTTTTATAAATGTTTGTGTTAAGTACATCAAAATAATTCTTAAATGGTTTTTCTCTTGTATAAGTATAGATAAGTGTTTTCCAGTAGTTTAGTTACCATGAGTGTTTAGAATGCCATAATTATTGCCATATGCAGAATAGCAGTCTTTAGTCAACCGACAACGCATTAACAATGAGCTGCCGAAATTACTGCCCTTAAATTTAAACGGGAAAACTGCTATTGCTCCGTTTCGAATTAACTTTTTTGTTTTGGTGAAATCAAAATTTATAGTGGGATGTCTTAAATATATCGTAACAATCTTTATATAATAATATTCATGTTGTTTATTAGTAACTATGAGTAGTTGCATATAATAATGTAGGACTTTTAACAAATTGAAAGACTTATTTTAAATTGTGTGTGAGTGCGCGGTTTTTTACTATACTGTGACTATATTTGTATATAAAATATTATGTTCAAATCTGTAACCATTGTTAATCGTTATAGATCTGAATTTGTAAATGACAATATTACGAGACGTGATTTTATGCCTAATTTATTCTAGATAGGTATAATTTGTAAGCGATATAATCGGCGAGAGTAACGACTTTTGTTCAATTTTTTCACACTGGTCTTGCCTTCTTAAGCCGCTCTTGTTGATTATATCGAAAACATTTCACTCAGTATATAATCACAGCATAGTTTGTATTAGAATATGTGCAAAAAAAACCTATATACAAAAAGTTTTTATATACGATATTGTATAAAATATATGATGTATGTTTGTTTAGTCGGAAGTATTACAATGTTTATTTGTAATTTTTATATGTATGACACTGAGACCAGTGATATGTTTTAAGTATTTTCACACTAAGAAATACAGTGCAGTCCAGTCATGCATGATTATAAGAAGTCGTTAATTTGACTCGTTTTGTGATATCAATTTTATTCTCGTCACATAAAAACAATGCATTCTATTGTGTTGGATGAACAAGTCTGTTGAATGAATGTTTATTTTGTGAGTATTTCTATTGTTTTTATGTGGCTTGTACTGCACATTAAAATAATTAGTTGCAATATAACTTTAATTTTTTTTAATTAACTAACATCTAATAAATATTTTTTATCATCTTGTTGTTGTAATCCGGGAAATGTATGTTGCACGGACACAAATCGCATAAGCATGTTTACAGGGACCCCCTCTCCACCCTTTTTTGGATTTTCATTTAACATATTTGTTATGGGTACACTTCACATACTAATAAAAAAAAATGGGCTCTTCACACTCTTATAGTGAAAAATACTAAGAACAAAAGGTATTAAATATTTGATTCATTTTGGAATTTTCTCGATGTAATTACCATACCCACCCGTTAGTGTCCGCCTTTTGAAGCCTTGGGTTACACTACCTCCTTAACTTTTTTCACACATAGTTCCTGTAGTACTGTAAAGATTTCGGTAAATTTCCTTACTGCAACCTTGCATTTACCATAGTACAGTATGTTTGACGTCCTCTGTATGAACCTTCATCGGACTGATTTGTGTACCTACCATAAATAATTTTGCATGTGGCTACTTTTGCTCTACAGGGTGACAATTTGAAAACTTACCACCCCCCATATCTTAGTAAATAAACGAGATATTTAAAAAAATCGTTTCGGTAATTCGGAGGGGGAATCACAATGACATAGTTGGCGACGCACACCCCCTGCGCCCTAGCCACCCCAACTTTTAAATCTTAAATAGTGACTCCCCATGTGTGATACGTCATTGGAAAGCTCTGAAAAAATGCGTTCCAACCATACCAAATAGCATTACATTTAGGTTAGTAATTATCGTGCAAATCAAAAAATAAACATGGAAAATTGTATTTAACTTGAACTTCCAAAGCCGACTATATTTGCTCGCCAGTTATAATCTATTCTCAAACTCTTGTCGAACCTTTCCAATGTTGGTTTTGCAATATTTCGACATTCTTGAATTATTCTCTGTCTTAGTTCGTCTATGGTCGCCGGTTGCGTTTTAAATACGACAGATTTCAAATGTATCATATTAGTTTATTTTCTGATTTGCACGATAATTACTAACCTAAATGTAATGCTATTTGGTATGGTTGAAAAGCATTTTTTCAGAGCTTTCCAACGACGTATCACACATGGTGGGTCACTATTTAAGATTTAAAAATTGGGGTGGCTGTGGCGCAGGGGGTGCGTCGCCAACTATGTCATTGTGATTCCCCCTCCGAATTACCGAAACGGATTTTGATTTTTTTAAATATCTCGTTTATTTACTAAGATATGGGGGGTGGTAACTTTTCAAATTGTCACCCTGTATATATTTTCTCAAAATATATTTTGCTGTACATTGGAATATCAGTCTTAACTATCTCGAGGGGCTTTCTAGATAGTCGATTTAATTAATTTATTTCTTTTCTCTTTCTCAACCATTAACAGTTTTTTAAACAAACACATTGCAAATGGGTTGCTTAAAAAAAATGTAATTCATATTTTTGTCTGCTTCTATGACATGAAGAGTAAGGTATACTTTAAAAGTATAACTTAATGAAGAGAGCGCATACGCACTCTTATATTCAATGTGTACACCATGAGCAGCTATTACGCTGCGTCCTTCTCGCTTTCACACGGAACAATACACACGTTTCTCTCTCGCGCGCTACTTAAAATTGCGACTTCCTTGTGAAAGAGAAGGGGGCAGCGTAACATCTGCTTGTGGTGTCCGCATCGATGTAAGAGAGTACACATGCGCTCTGTCCATGTAATAGAAGCAGACAGAAATATTAATTTTAATACTCTTAACTTAGTTTTTTAAGCAATCATTTGCAATGCGTTTGTTTACTTACCAAGATTGCTAAAAAATGTCATCCAACACTACTAACCCAACCCATTACCTATACATGCTTAAACAGAGACTGTCCGTATCACAGTCCTTCATTGCTCCAAACCTCGCCAAACGCTTTGTATTTTTTTAAGGTAATTTTTCTAAAGAAATTCCCCCCATGTAAAGGTTCTGTCCGTCTGTTCCTTGTCTAATTCAAGAATGGAAAGAGAAAGTGATGTCAAACCTTCACCAATTGATTTCTACGAGTTCAAGGATCTGACTATGAGCCGCGGGTTTCCGAATGCGAGCTGAGTAGGAAACATTCCTCTGCCGATAAAATCGTAATTTCTTCGTTTCTAGAGTCTGCAGAGGTCCACATTACGAAATCAGGTACACATTTTTAGGATATGATCAACAAAAAAGTGACTCCAGTTGGCCCTGAAAGAGGGAGATATGATCCATGTGTAGTTGTAGTTCAATTTTAAAAAATGCGAGCTGTAATTCATATTAGACGTGACCTAAAATTTTCACGCCATTCCCTAAATCCAAATTTTGTTGATCATGATTCTAATGTTATGTACAGTGTGTTCGAGGCCTCCTCAATATCTCTTATTTGGCGAGATTCAAAAAAATTATCAAGTATAATTTTACCCAAAATCGTCCTGAAACCTTCATTTTCATGCCTACTTTCTGCCTGGAAATTTTAGTTTCCATGACAGAGGCAGAGCAGACTACGTTTCCTGTCGCTTTGTCACTTTACCGGCCGCATTTTTGACATTTCTAAAATGTCTATAATAACTTCTGTCATCAGTGACAGATTGACCTTAATCAAAAAAATTTAATACAAAACTCGTTAGTAAAATGTCATTAGTACTCGGGAATTAAAGTACTCGGCCCCGTTGGAGCCTCGCACTTCACTATTTCCTCGCCAATAATGTACCATTTTCCTGACTTATGTAAATGCCTACTTTATGACAGGAAATTTTAGTTTCCATGACTAGACTACCTTTCTTGTCGCCTGTCACTTTACCGTCTGCACCTGTCACTTTCCCGGGCGCACCTGTCACATTGATGCTAATGGTTCCTGTCATCACTGACAGATTGACCTTAATAATAAGTTTGCAAAATGACACTACTTGGAAATTAAAGAAGAAAGCGATCCAGAGGTCACGATCGTTCTGTTCAAAAATTCAGGATTTTCACTATCATATATTGCCCTATTTGTGACCTGACTATTTATGAATTTTTTGTCTTCAATTGCAGTAAATTTCGGTGCCATTATTTCACACTGCGTCGTGTCACTTGGCGCGTTCATACTGGTTAGTGCAGCGGTCACGCGCGTCGTGCATTTAAAACGCGCCAAGGAAACCACGTCCATAATAAATGGGTAACGAGGTGCATTCCGCCGACTGCTTCAGCGACACCGTACCTTAAAACCGGCCTAACACAACAAACACCGCGCATCCTGACAGCACACGGTATGCGAGAATTAAAAAATGTTCTAAACATTGGGTTTGTACTCCACTTCATATGAATAAAAATATTTCGATTCGATGGGTTTCTACTCCGATGGTAGGTCTTTGGCATAATATTCCTGCATTATTGTTGGGCCTGTTATCGAAGCAAACAATCTGCGTGCATGTGTTGGTGCAATGAGTGAAAGCAGTGAAGAAGTTTAAAAGTAACATCCAGTTGCGAATTCCAAACGGGGAGTAATGCATTCGACCTCTGAAACTCATTCCTTGCAGTGTTACAATGGTGAGTTACTCCATATCCGTGAATCATGGACAGTGCGATTTTTTTTAGGCTTTCGCCCTATATCCGCCTTCTTGGGGAGTCGAGCTCCTCAGCACTTTTAGGGACGGTCCCTCAGAATGTTCTACCAACCTAATACTAAATGTAAGTATTATCTGCATGCATGCTCAATAATTACAATATTTTGTTGCCTTTTAATTATATAACCCCGCGGGCGGCAAAGCCCATCATATTTAAGACAATTTTTAAGAACTCATTCAATACTACTCGCGTTATTATAGGGGTTCCAAATAATTGAGCCATAGCATAGAGTAATATGGCCATAGGTACTCCAACTTTATCCCAACTAACGAAAAATATACCCAGTGTAAAAGTAGCATTCAAATTTCTAAGTAATGAATTCAAAATTCAAGGGTTTTCATTGCACAACACTATCACATCAATATGGTCGGTAAGGGTGAATTTACCCTCCATTTTAACACACCTACTAAGTCTTTTACAGGTGTCAATTCGTAAAAATTAAGCGTGTGTATCTAGTTGAAAATCATGGAATGTTTTTTCCAAATAAAATACTGCACTTTACATTATTATTAAGACACTTATTGATGGTATCTACATATGTGATATTGTAAAAATGAACAATCTTGAATAGAATTAATAGTCGTAAAGATCTTCAAATTATCCGCGTATACTCCACCAATTGAAGCAGTTCATTTAAAGATATATAGAGAATAGGAGGGGCGCCAAGTTTGATCCCTGAGGAACTCCATGATATATGTTGGTATTTTGCTACGAAGGAATCATTTTGCGATCACCTAGATTTGGCAGTGTGTTTCTTCATCTTCATATAAAAGTAGTTTATAATGTACAATACTATCCAGGGTGTCTCAGTATATTTTCACCCCCACTGATGATTTTCATTAATTTTGGGAACACAAAAATTTTCAAATAAAAGTTTTATCTGTACCTATACCGACTAAAAATGTAGTAAGTAATTGATTGAATTCGCTTTACAGGGAGTGCCCAACAAAATATCTTCAGTGGGACACCCTGTATGTTTTTATAGTTTTAAAAGTAGCTCTGATATTTCCTGATTACACTGATTATACATAATATTGTATTACATTATAGTTTCATGGATTAGAAAAAGAGATATCAGTTGTGGATTGATAACATAATGGGGGCCGATATTCGATAAGCCGCTATTGTAATATTAAATATTTTATTCTAACTTAGTCATCAATGTGATTTACTATCGAAATTCATCAATTATGGATTCTACAGGCCACGTTCCATAAGAAAAATTTTTTTCCAGGTCGATCTGAGACAATTTTTTTTTCGGGACAAAAAAAGGCAAAAGGCAAACCTTCCTTTTTTCCAAAAATCGAGTGCACCAAAATTTCTCGGGAAAACACTTTTTCTTTATTAATTTTGGTGCGTAGAATCCAAAACAATTCGTACTTTTTCGATCAGACTTCTCAATCAAAAGTTATAGACCAATTTCGAAAGAAAATTCAAAGGGCCGTAACTTTTGAACTAGTAGCCCAATCTTGGAACTGTTTGAAATTATGGATTCTACAGGCCACGGTCGTCTGTCGTGTTAGTTTCCATTCCCCTTTTTAAACAGACGTGCACCCCACATATGTATCGCATTCACCGAATAATCGTCGCATTAATTACTATAACCATTGAATTTTAAATTCAATGCTATAACTGATGAACAGTAGATAGTTTCAGATGCAATTTATTTCACCTTTTCATTAATTATAAATTTCCAAATGTATACTCGGCGCATTTCAGGTTTTTTTTAAGTTTTGAAACGAGCTCTGATTATTTACCGGCCGGCGATAAAATTTTTGAAATGGGTACGATCCCGATACCCGAAAAAATTATTTTTCGCCTCCGTTTGCAAAACGGTTGCCGGCCAGCGGGCCGCAGAACTCCTTTAGTATTTAGGAATAAAAAATCCGCCCTTTTATGTCTAAGAATATGTGTACCAAATTTGGTTCCAATCGGTTCAGCCTTTTAGGCGGAAATGAGAGTACAGACATCAGACAGACAGACCTACAGACCGATCGATATCCAGATTTTGTTTGATTCGGATTCCTGGTGCTTCAAAAACGTCAAAAAAACGTGGGGGGGTCATTTTTTACGCCAATGCAAAGAATAATTGTTATGTATTCTTTGCCCTTACTAACATGCGGGTGGTAAAAAAGTAATTTACTCAATTTTATAACCCGCACGCTAGTAAGAGAGGTATTGCATTGGGGTAAAAAATGACCCTCCACTTTTTTTTACGGAAATACACTTTGAAGCACCAGGAATCAGAATCAAACAAAATCTTGATGATGTCGGTCTGAACAGATTGGAATCAAATTTGGTACCTACACATACTTTTAGACATAAAAAGAAATAACAGGGGGTTCAGTGGAGACTCCTGTGGCACTCCTTGTGTTACAGGTAATCCAGGAGTCGATTGCGACGCTGGATCTGTTTCATTATTAATATGGAATTTGACTAGATTTTTGAGTATCGCATGACATAATGCAAAATAGAAAATATGTTCTTTTACAAATTTGATACAAATTGTTCTAAGTAAAAATGCGTGCAATTTGATTATTTAAAGAAACATAGTGCAGCTTCCCAAGGTGTCGTAGTGCGTGACGTTTTTAGTTTTGAGGTTGCATTGTGTGTTGCCTATCTTGTATACAAGTTGGTTGTAAACCCCATGCAAGAACTGGCTTCATGAACACACTCTCCTGTTACACCATGGTAATTAAAATTCATAGGACACGTTACAACAAATATAACTTTATTATTCCGAAGCGAGTATATAAAAAATAAGCAATAGATTAAACATAAAGCTATAAGATGATATAAAAATATACGAAAATCTATAACTGGGATACTTCATACAAATAGGCTCCAAGTAGCTTTGTCTGAAACACGTCAAGAGTTAATAACAATTTTACCCAACAGTCGCACTTACTCCTTCAATGTAATTCCTCATATTAATTTTTTCATTTTGAGAATGAGCACCATCATCCGCGGCACCGACAGGAAGAAGAATAACATTTTTCCCGGTGACCTCTTGTAATGTCAACGTGATTGGAATGGAACCGCCTTCACGGATCAAATCGGGTTCGACACCGTAAACTGATTTAGTAGCGCGCTGCCCTGCCTGATAATGAGGATGGAAGGGGTCCTCTTTCCACGAATGGCCGCCGTGTACCATTTCGATCTAAAATTTATCTTATCTTATCAATATTTGGTCTCGATACAAATACCTTCATTTTGTTTGGACTGTTACGTTTGGCCCACATTTTCTGTACATAATCTACGACTAGTTGGCCTATTTTCTCGGGCTGCTGATTTGGAACTGCTCTAATGGAGAACTTTCCGATAACCTTCTTCGGAATGACAGTTTTTTGGCCGGGTTCGCTGAAGGCACCCTCAATTCCGTGAATCGAAAGGGACGGATAACGCCAACGGTGCATTAATATTTTGATTTTATCTTCATTGTGAGCGAGTTTGCTGGTGCCAACCGTGTCACGGTAAGAATCGACGTCGAACTCGATCTTTTTATACAAGGCTTCTTCCTCAGGTGTGAGCGGGGCGACGTCGTCACTTATTCCGTCAACTTTTATGTGACACTCTTCGTCAACTAACGTGTTTAGCAGGTATACTAAATCGCTCATAGCCTCGTATCTAAAAAAAAACGGTGATCATAGTTACATTGAAAGTCGGCGCTTACACTGAGCCTCCGTAAATACCGCTGTGCAAATCAGAGGCAGCCCCTTCAATTTCCAGATAGAAATAGCAAATGCCTCGCAGACCGTAAGTAATACACGGCTTCTTAGTGCCCAACCAGTAGTTATCCGAAATGCAGACATAATCGATGTCCTTCAAAAATTTATCCTTTTCCTTAGTCAGAAGTTCTTCGACCCCTTCACTGCCGGATTCCTCCATTGCTTCGAAAACGAACTTAATATTCACGGGGATATCCTCCTTGATATGCTGGTAACCTTCGATGGCGTGCAACCAGCACAGCACCGGGCCTTTATCGTCGGTGGAACCTCGCCCGTACAACTTATCATCCCTTTCTACTAGCACGAACGGTTTGGTATCCCAACCGTCTTCCAAGAGGGCAGGTTGCACGTCCAAATGACCGTAAATGCAGACAGTCTTTTTTTTTGGATCCTTTCCTAACGTGGCCAAAATCACGGGAGGAAGGGGAATTTTGCGCCCGTCGAACAATTCCTGTTCGCCGACGTCGCGAATTGTAACGTCGACTCCCAGTTTTTCCAATCGCTTGGCGGTCCAGTGGACCATTTCGATCGTTTGATCCCGATGATCCGGCCATCCCGAGACTGATTTAATCGCGACTGCTTCTTTAAGTGTTTCTACGTATTTTGCCTTGTTTTGATCGACGTGGCTGTGGATTTTAATCACAGTGACTGTGCAAAAGAGATCTGGGGGTGGGTGGTGGGTACTTACTGGAACAGCTTCTTCAATACATTGGGTAATGCCATGATTGTTGTTGCACTGACGACGAAACGCAAATAGATAGGATGATACCACGGAAACCAGATAATTATTTATTTAAAATAAAAATAACATATCACAGACCGGCAGATTGGGTTTCCCTTCCTATTAAACAATAAAAACATGCAGTGGCGTACGTATACAATGGGTGATGCTATAACAAAGAACTAAATGACAATATGACATACTGCTGGTTTCTAGGAAATTGTAGTCACATGAGACGGTTAATAAACATTAGTCAGAAGTCAGAACGTATAAAGTAAATTGCTACAAAAATGATTAAACGGTTTGATTTGTTATCAATTACTTTGTTTATTAATCGTTATGACAGTGGCGGATCTAGAATAGGACTACAAGGGGTTAAAAACAATGCAAAGCAATTCCTCTAAAAGTAGTTCAAAACGACAGAAGTGGGTCCGGACAGACGAACGGACGGACGGATGGACAAAACGCAAACAATCGCACATTTTTTATCTTCACAAAATGCGTTAAAAATCTCATTTTTAGGGCAGCTCTTCGAACTCCTGTTTATACATTATAGAAATACTAATTTGGGCCAAGAACCCCTTTTCCAAAAGGAACTGATACCTGTCCAATGATCATGAACTAATACACTTTTATACAGGTACAGTAAAAAAAAGGTTGTCACTAGTGGTTTTGATTTTTCAGCTGTTGAGGAAGATACTGTGTTTAGAGTAATCAGAACATTAGTGAAGCTATCAGATTTGATGGCATAAATATCTTAACAATCAAACTATGCATCCCTTTCTTACTGCCCTACGTAATAACGTAACTCATACCTGATGTGTGGAAAAAAGCGTTTGCGCGCTTTTGTCTCTGTAAGAGTAAGTTACACAGGCTAATTCAAATTTGAGGGCCACCATGGGGATCTCGGGAATTATACGTAGTTTAAACTTGGCAAAGTTGCGTATTTTGAAACTCAAAAAATTCCGACCACTTGCGGAAATATCGGGAAAAAAACGAAATTTTGCAAAATCGTTTTTGTTTTCTACTGAAGGAATACTTAAAACTGATTATAAAACATGATGGTTGAATTCCTTTCGTTGGTAACCAGAGTTTTACAAAGGTAACGCAGACGGTAACTACTAGATTTGTGCGCAGTTTGAAAGTGTATTAAAAAACGGCATGCCTACTTTTTTAAAATAGTAGATACAATCTGTCGTAGTAGATCAAGTGACTCAGAGTAGTTCTAATGATTGTATGAGTAAGTTCACATGACTTATTGCGTAATTGTTTATTGTTTTTATGTTGGTAGTTGACGCTTGGCTTCGCAGTTTTTGATAAGTGATGTGAGATAAAAAATGTAATCATTGACATGGCGGGTTTTCGAGATATCGACAGGGCATTATTTCCAATAAAAAGTATCGCGGCCGTCATAGAGATATTCAAGCACCATTTGGAGAGGACTTCCGAACCGGACTTGGCGTTACTATCAATCATCGTCGGCGCGGTAGAAAACTCGTTGACATGCGGCCGGCCAAATGCGCCGCAACAAATTAGCGATCCGATCGAGTCCTCGAGGCTACCGTCGCTCGAGTACCATACCGTCGAAGTTCTGTACAATAAGTTTTACGCAATCATGAAGGGGGCCGTCGACGTACCTGCCAAAAACACCACTAAAACGCAATATGCTACAAGGGAGCTTGTAAAAAAAGTATCTGACGCTGTGTGGAATACGCTTTCTAGGAGTTACTATAAGGATAGGGCGCACTTACAAAGTCTTTTTAGTTATCTTACCGGAAATAAACTCGATTGTTTCGGTGTCGCTTTCGCCGTCGTCGCCGGGTGCCAGGCGTTGGGATTTGCAGACGTGCATTTGGCACTGTCGGAAGATCACGCGTGGGTCGTGTTTGGGGAATTTAGTACAGAAACGGCCGAAGTAACGTGGCACGGAAAAGGCAACGAAGATAAACGGGGCCAAGAAATTGGTAAAGGAGTCGCTGCACGTTCCTGGTTGTATGTCAATAACAAACCTGTCGTATGTACGAGAGCTATGGAAGTAGCCGCTTTAGTTTCGGCCATAAATCCCTCGCTAAATGCTACGCACGACGCGTACGAAGTTGCTTACTTACAGCAGGAGCTGTTGTGGCTGTTGTACGATTTGGGACATCTTACTAAGTACCCGATGGCCATTGGTAATTTAGGTGATTTAGAAGAGATTTCTTCCACTTCCGGAAGGTAAAACTGATGAAATTTGTCGTTGTTTACTTCCTAACTCCGTTTTAGAATACGTTGTGATATTTTATTTCGTGAGGCAATATCATCGGCTCGTAGTTACTACGACAACATGCACGTTTACCCGTACACCTATCAGGGAGGATATTTTTATCGTAACAAAATGTACAAAGAAGCGTTTGAAAGTTGGGCCAATGCTAGCGATGTTATTAGAAAGTAAGTAGTGCCGCATTCCGTTCACAACTTTTTATTTTTAGGGTTATCCTTGGAAAATGTCATTTCACATTTGTTTTTAAATGCTATAGAAGGTTAAGGAATCTGCAAACTGGCATTTGTTTTTGATATTTAAGAGCGGATATATAGATCAACAATCAATATCTTTGGTTTGAAGATTCTATTTTAATTTGAACTGTATAGCTATTTGGGATTTCATGGTAACCGTTCTTAATGTAGTCTTTGGGATTACTACATCAGTATGGCCTTGATTAAGTAAATCCCTTTCTTCTATGAAGAATGAATTGTCCCCTTAACATTATTCAAAGAATTCTGAAATCGTTTCATACGATCACTCTTTATAATTCCACTCTTGTAGCTACTATTAAGTGGATTTTTTTTTTGTAAAGTGAACATAGGGATAGTTACATTGTATGAATGGTATGTTTAAGAAAAACTAGTGGTGGTTTTGTTATACAGAGTGGTAAGAAAATGTAACACCCTGTATACTGCAATGAATTATTTTGATAGTTTATTGTAGAAATTCTAAAAAAAGTATGCAATACTGTCGTTCCAGTATGAAAAAGTTTAATTTGAGAGTGGGGGGGGGGGGCTAAGCATTCACTGTACAAGCACAACAGAAGTACTATGCATGTATGTAATACTGTAGTTTCTTTTTAACAAACTTTAGTTTTAGGGGTAAAAATATTATTAGGTAAATCGGTTATGAAGAATCGCTAGAAAATATTTTCAAGCTGTAAAAATGACCACCAGAGGGCGTAACTGCCAAACTGCCATTAAAGTCACTAGATATAGAAAGTACCGCAATCATCCGCCATTTTTGGGCAAATTTTCTGCCAACTTAAAAAATTTGACAAATAAAATCTGAATAGCTGTAATTTTTTATAACCTAACTTCATAGTACTGTCATGTTTTATAAAAATATATACAGATATCTCCAAACAGGTGGAACAATCCCTAACATTGAAGTTACTAGAATTTGGTAACTTCCGCCATTTTTGGGCAAAAATCATGCGTTCTCTCTCTAACACACGAGCCCAATGGATTGCGGTACTTTCTATATTTAGTGACTTTAACTGCCATCTTAAATTTTAAAATTGCATTTTCTTTAAATTTCGCATAAACTAAACATTTGTTTTTTCACATTTTTAAAGAGAACCAGTTTATCATTTTCGTAAATACAAAAACTCAGTTATTTCAAAAACAAAGATGGCGTGGGGCGTTCAATTGTTTTTGCAATAACTTGCTTTAACTTCTTAACCGTTTGACCGATTGTAACAAATTTGGTATTGTTGAAAAGGGCATTCCTTGGGCAACAAGAATCAAAATATAGATAATTTAGTTGAATCCTTCTCCGCCAGAGGGATAGTTTTGACACTATCATCCAAAATCCTAAAAAAAATCAAATGGAATGATATGACATTTTCTTTATGAAAAAGTAGCCAAATAAAACCCAAAGAGGTCAGTGAAAACCTTCAATATTGGGAAAATGAGATTAATTAATTAATTAATAAAAATGCTTAAATTGTATCTTAAATTTACTTTTGACGTATTTCCGGTATTTGTCGATGGCGCGAATTATTTTGAAAATATATCGCTAGCAACCAGATTTTGCATACTTTAGAAAATGGGTGGGCGGGGGGGGGGCGCATGTTCTACCCTTCATGGTATTCTAATGAAAGGTCTCATCGAAATTAATTGCTTTTTACAAACTATAACTTTACCATGCGACTCTTTTTCGGAATCAGTAAGCGATGGGGCTTGAGGGGGGGGGGGGGGTAAAAATTAATTTTATCTCATTGTAATCTAATTAAAGGGTCTCAACGAAAGGAACCGTTTTCTATCAACTACTGCCCTTCTTTCTGTCCTCTTATCAAAATTACGCAGTGGGGGAGGGGGGGGGATGAGTTTTTTCCTTCATGGTACTCTAATGAAAGGTCTCAATGAAAGGAATTAATTTCTACCAACCACAGCCCTCCTCCTCGACCTCTTATCGTGATCGGGTATATTCCCTTATACCTCAAGAACGGATTGTCGGAAGTGGGTACTCACAAAGGGCGATTGAGACGTCTGCAAGAAATATATCCATTGGTGATGTCATGTTTATACTTTTGGGAGCTTTCTGAAAAGCATTCTACATAATTGTCAGAGATTTTCTACTTTGTCAGATTCCTTTAACCTAATATACACTTGTATTTTCCAAGGGCAACTCTTGGAAAAAGTCGGGAGCAAAAAATAAATACTTTACTCATACCTAGATACAACTATTCGCGTGATGACGAAGAAATTTACAAAGAATTTCTCGAAATCGCCAACGAGTTAATACCTCACATAATGAAAGTGGAAAGCTCAGGGTTCAGCGCCAGCTGCATACTCAAGAAACCGGAATGTTTCGCGTACCTGCTCCGATTTTACGACGGCATCTGCCAGTGGGAGGAGGGCAGCGCGACGCCCGTACTGCACATCGGCTGGGCGAAACCGCTTGTAAATACGATATCGAAATTTGACTCGGAAGTACGTGCTCAGGTTAACATAGTCTGTGAATCGAGTCCCGGTGATAGTAAGTTCGACCATAAGGCTCAGACGAACGGAAACGCGACGAGCTGCTTGAATAACAACAACAATTATTGTATATCGGAAAAGGAAAACAGGAGCAGCGATAACGAGCTTATTCACGCGATCGAGTCGAAAGTTATAAGCGAGGAGAGCGCCGACAATAAGAATTTGCATCCAAGTATTGAAGCGCTTACGGCGGCGTGCTCGGAGAAGATCCTTAATCCCGAGTTTCTCCTGCAAGGTGGTGGGTCGCCGTTTGTTGGTATGTTTATTCATTAGGGTCTGCCACAGATATACATAAACAACAGATTGCTAAACTTATGCTCAAAAGCGCCCTCTATTGAGGAGCAGTATGAATATGTACCTCTATATTTATGCATAGATGTCGCTGCAAAAATTTAAAGCAACTTAGTAGCTCCATTGTTCCATTAAAATTATACAAATATGGCTCAGCCTGTAATAATACCAATAATAAGAAATTCGTAAAGTCACTAGATATAGAATCATCCGCCATTTTTGGGTAAATTTGCTGCCAACTTAAAAAAATTGACAAATAAAAACTGAATCTGTAATTTTTTATAACCTAACTTCATAGTACATACTGTCATGTTTTTAAAAATATATACAGATATCTCCAAACTGGTGGAACAATGCCTAACATTAAAGTTACTAGAATTTGGTAATTTCCGCCATTTTTGGGGAAAAATCACGCGTTCTCTCACTCACACACGAGCCCAATGGCTATATTTAGTGACTTTATACCTTACCCATGAAATAATATACATCGTACATCTGTGCATTTGCTTAAGAGATTTAATTGAAGAGATGAAATCACTTAAAGAAGATCAATAACCACGGCTCATTAATTATTTCAGGTGGCGACGAGACTGTAAAAGTAGAAAAGCGAAACGGAACTACTCCAAGTACCTCAAAACAAACTGAACCTGAAGAGAAAATCTCACAAAGTACAACTCCCACCGTCACTCTTCACAGTCAAAAGATGATCGGTTTAAAGGACCTCTTACTGTCCGAAAAACTGAACACACACGCCATATCCTTACACTTAACGGCACAGTCTCAGGTACAGGTCGGAAAGAAAGGTAGGACAGACGTGGAGAGTAGCACGAGACCGAAAAGGACTCGCAGAGAGTAAAAAAGTGTTACACTTTTAAAACTACTTATTTATTTTTTAGTCATTGACAGTGAGGGGGAACGACGACGAATCGTACTTAAGTTTGCCAACAAAATGGTTTGCAAAACACAATGTTGCTTGTTATAGAGAAATGAGTATATTTTAAACCAAAATAATTTTTAAAGGGTAACTTATTTTTTGAGCGTAATTTCCTTGTTGCTTGTTGCATATTTATAAGTTGATTTTTATGGCTTACTCATTTTATAGGAAAGATCCGAGGCTGTATCATTTTTGAGCATTTTAACACGTGAATCGGATGGACAGGTAAGGTGCTGTGAGCTATTGTACGAGTGCTGTATATATTTAATGTGACGATCAATAGTTCATTTCAGTTTTGGTTAAAATTTAATCTTGAAAAAACACTCAATTAGACATATAGATCTTAGATCATATATACATAGACATAGCTTCCCATTTACTTTCAATAAGGAGCATTTGTCCCTAACAAAGACATACTTTGCACCGGAATTAGAACACTGCACATGCGCAATAGCATTTTAACACACGAAATGACCAAGAATTTAAAATGTGTCCAGTGTGACTATGGAACGAAAGATAAATCTAATTATAAAACACATTTATTAACATACAAGGTCACCATGGATTTAAAGTGTGCTCAGTGCACTTTCGTCACCAAACATAAATGTGGTCTTAAAGTGTGGAGCAAGGATTTAAAATGTGACCGGTGTGATGTTGTCACCAAGTACAAATGCAATTTTAAAACGGTGCACATCATTGGTATTCGGTTGACTATCTCTCTCACACATGTTGGCCCAAGATTAGTAGGCTATATCTATGGAATATATATGATCTATGGCTAAGATTTACTCTCAATCTGTTTCTCATTTTGTTTGCATGTCGCATACATTATAAGCACGTAAAAATGTTTGATTTTTCAAGGTTAAATTTTAGCAGAGAAGATCTATTAAAAGTGTACAATTTCGGATCAACAGATTAACAATAGGAAAATTAATAGCTTGGTTGGTCCGAGTCCGAAACGGTTTTAAACATTAAGCAATGAAGTTGATACCTTCTGTACAAATTTCATACTGTTATTACTACTCTATTTTTTATATCAATTTAGAAAAGGAAGCCCCGAATATAAGTGATATTCTTGTTACTTTGTTAGGCAATTTCTGTTAGTGTTAATCATTGCCATTATAACAATTCCATTTTTCTGTGAGATAGATTTGAACTTCCATTTTGTAAAACTGTTATGTTAAATTTATAGCGTCACTAGCGTATTGAAATTATTTACAGTCATGTTATCCTGTTTTAGGAAATCAAACATTCCGCATGGAAATGTTAACAATTGAGCATAGGTCAAATTGTTTATCTGGGATCAGTACAGTTTCAGAGAAAGCTATGGTCACAGAAAATCCACTTTTAATAGTAATGTATACTTTTGTTTGTTCTGAAATTTGGCCAAAATGTTCTTTGGACCTGCCTCTCCTTGAACATATCCAAAAAACATACCACCATTTTGAATTTTTGGTCGCCTTTTGTGGTTTTTCCTCTATCTTGAAAACTATCCACTTTTCCCAACCATTCCTATTTCCAAAACGAAAGCTCATTAAATTTCCTACAAAGAAATAGTTTTTTCCCATTTGGGAGATATACAGGGTGTTCCGAAATATGATGTAAATACGGCTGGGGCTAATTCTTTGACTTATTTCATGACTAAAAATTCACATAAACAGGTCCGCAAACGCTTTGTTACCGAGTGGTTATGTCAATGGTAGTACAGGGTGTTGTTTTTTCAGGAGTCATCTTCCATTTTCTCCCCTGAACTTTTTTTCGGTGCGCCACTGGTCGATTGTGAACCAAGTATTTAATTTTATGTTTTGGTTATACGCTTTTTGGGTAATTTTTTTGTGTCTGCAACCGTTATTGGGAAAAAAAATATCAATTTTCTGTAATCAGCTGAATGAAATGGTCCAGTAGGCCCTGCCTTTTTTTATTGTTTTTATTAGTCTTGAGAGTTGGCATTGAAAATTGTGTCTTGTGTTTGCATATGTAAAGATTAGATTGTAAAGTGTATGGTAGAACTATAACACCCTGTAGATGCGGCAATCGGCAACATAGCATTTGGGTTTATATGAACTTTTAGTAATAAAATTAACCAAATAATTATCCTCTTCTGTATTTACATTTACAAAAGGGACGGCATGTTGCCCCCCCCCCCCCCCCCCGGCTATATATATTCAAGAGAAAGGCCCAATGAACATTTTGGTCAAATTTCAAAACTAAGTTCTTTTATTCGGTGACTTTGGTAGTGGACTGGACTATACATATATAGTGTATTTGAAGGGTCTTTCAATTCTGTACCCAATCCGTAACATTTTTTACCTTACAATAAGCAATGTTGGAAAACAAAACACCTACTCATTCAAGTTTTTATTCAAAAGGTCAACATTTGAATGTTTCGAGATGTGGGTTATGGGGAGGGTGCAAGTTTACGTAGAAATGCGCCCCCTTGAAAACTAAAATTGACGTGTTCACGATTTTTCTGTATCTGGTACTTCAAGGTTTTTAGATGTAAACATTATTTCTTTCAATTTCGGATAAAACAATGGTACTGTGCCACTTACATAACTCAGATGACTCTCAGTCTGTAGATGATACCTTTACATTACTCAGTATATGTATAACCAGCTGCAGTATATTTAGTTAGTTTCATTAGAAATATGAAGCTGTACATTTAAACCACCAAAATTTGGTGGCACATGAATGAAATAGTCACGGATAGTTTGGAAAGGGGGATACGGAAAAAAATGAAAGCTTCGTCAAATTGTAAAAAAATTGTTTCTACAAAAACAAATGGTGAAGTTAAGTTCTCTTTCTCTTGGCGTTAGTTGCAATGTGCCAAAATATCCACAGTTGAACAATTTTCAAGCTAGGTGGCGCTGCTATCTCAGAAATATTAAAGTCACTAGATATAGAAAGTAATCATCCGCCATTTTTGGGCAAATTTGCTGCCAACTTAAAAAAAATTGACAAATAAAATCTGAATAGCTGTCATTTTTTATAACCTAACTTCATAGTACTGTCATGTTTTATAAAAATATCAATGAATAAAGAAAAATATATACAGATACCTCCAAACAGGTGGAACAATCCCTAACATTAAAGTTACTAGAATCTGGTAACTTCCGCCATTTTTGGGCAAAAATCATGCGTTCTCTCTCTAACACACGAGCCCAATGGATTGCTGTACTTTCTATATTTAGTGACTAAGAAATATAATCAAAGACTGTGTGGGCTTCTACAGTTTCAATTGTCATTGTCGTTCAAGCGTGAATATTTTGACAAGTGATTGTGTGCTCAAGAGACACAGAAATCTGATTGAAAGTCACAGTTTTGATTCGTCTTTGAAATTCCCCAAAAAAAAGACTGCTGCGCGGAAATTTGAAAACGCCTAAAAATATCCGCAAATTCAAAAACTGTGTAGGTCATTAATCTTGAAATTCTGCAAACCATCATATACACAGCAGATAACTGGAGAAATTTGTATCTGCCACTCATTGGATCTTTTTTCTTGGACATAAAAGTGTTACTGTGCAATACAATAATATGCCTAAAATTCCACTTCTGACTGACGCGTGTGATAGATCCCCTTGGTTGTGATCCCTCACACTATTTTTTTTTGTTTTTATGAAAATAACTCCTTTGTATAATTCCATGCGCCTCTTGTGCAAACCTCCCGTTTAATTTTTTTGTTCAAAAAAGAAGAAATTCAAAAAATTTTTGAAACCCTTTGTTTGGAGGGGGGAGGGGCATGTTTTTTACCTTAAATTCTGTAAATAATACTTGTACATATTAGGAAAATTTGGAATTTCGGCAAGTTTTTGATGTTTTGCAAAAAAAAGGTCTGTAGTATTTTGGCATGAGATCAGGATATTATCAGTGCAATCCAACCGACATCACAAGATCGGCCAAGCTATTAAGAGATAAGTTCTATCGTCTATAAGGAATACAGTATTATCTAAAAGAGAAATTTGATTGCTTCATTTCGATTTCGTCTACACACGCTTATTCCTTTTTATGAGCCAATCACGCTTGATAGTTAAATTCACTTGTAGTTAATTGTTAAGATCCTTGTTAACATTCCCGCCTTCTAATTAGATTAGTCGGCAACCTAAAGTATTTTTTATTGTTACGCATTTTATGCATCTAAATGTTTATCGCACTATTTATTTTAGTTTTTCTTTTTTTTGTAATTTAAGCACTTCTACGCCAAAAGAATTCTTTTGGTAATGGCTGTTAAATACTTATACTCCTAAAAGAGGCGGTTTTAGCCGCTGTTACAAAGAAAAAAAACCTGGGTTAGTGTGGGTTTGCCTTTTGCGCGCGAGTTGTTCTTTTTTCCTGTTGCACTGTATCTGTTGTCAGTCTAAGAGATGAGAGCTTTGTACGAGTAGAATCTCCGTTTTAGACCTAAGATAAACACTAGTGAGTAATTTTGAAAGCTAATTTTATTTTTGTATTGGAAGGTACAGTTTAAGAAAAAGGTACAATATCGTGGTAAGACCAGTATAATAATATTTAAAAAAATTCACCGACCTCAATAATGTTTTTGAATTAGGTTTTTTGTAATTTTTATTTCTCCATTCGGGTCATAGTTTTAAGTATTTTTGAGATTTTAATGATATAAACACAAAATTAAATTATTGTAGTCTGTGATGAATTAAAAGGTGACTATTTATTAATAAAATGTAATAGTAAAACGTAGAGGTATTATTGAAACATGTATTTTTCTAACCGACAAAAAATAACTGACGCTTCCGTTTTGTTAAATAATGTTGACATATTTTGAAGTTTAACTTTTTGAGGTTCATCCAAGAAGCGAATTGTATAAGTATTGTTATCTTCTGTAGATTTATGTATCTGTTTAAAAGTGTCATTTACAAAATATATGTACATCACGAGTTAGACTTAATTCTAATAATTGACAATGTATACTGTTAGAGTAAATTACCTGTAATAATGTCCTAATTAATAAATGCATAAAGTTACAATAAGTTGCAATGTGGAATCAAAATTGTAAATACTTTGGTAAAAAATTATACAGGATGTTCACAGGTGGCAGTAGCACTTTGTAATGAGCAAACTCCAACTAGCCGAATTCAAGATTTTGGGTTTCAAAACTCGCTAGCTACGAAGAAAATTGTGCGAAGGAAGAGTTTCAAATGTGCCCGATTGCAACCCACCACCACCCTTACATTAATGACACCCTGTATAGAAGGCACAGTTTACAACTCGGTTAGCCTCGGTCCTTTCTTAATCTCCTTCCGCTTCTTCTTCTTATCAACTTTAACATCCTCCCTTACGATATCTTTACTGACCGTTTTCCGATACGGATTTATATAATCGGGATCTCGTTGCGTATGATTCAATTCCTGACTAACCAAATTGATAAGCTTAACGGTACTCGTGTCTAACAAATAGCGCACTTCGTTACAGAAAATAATGCACCACCGCAACAGGAGATCCCAGTTATTGTTCAGTTTGAGTACGGTCGTGCTTATTTCGGGGAAACGTAAGATGACGTCGGAAAACAGGGCGGTGTTTTCCAAAATGTTCGAGAGGGCGTCTCGCGTTTTTGCCTCCGTGGGAAAATGCGAGATGCCGGGAATGAAACCGGACGATTCTATTTGCGCTCGGCTCTCCTGAACGGTCGCGAACACCTTCTCCGCCATCAGGAATATCATCGAGTACTGTTTCTCGTAGTTGCCGATCTTTTTGAAGCTCTTGACCGCCTCGAGCTGTTCGGCACGTCTTCGCTTGAACAGCTTTATATCTGTAACAAATTAGTTAGCGATGTCGGTTAATTATGGACGAGCGGAAAAGGTACATAGCTGTTCGGCAAATTCGGGACCGTTTACATCAACGTTATCGCAAATTATCGAGTGAGTAATTAGTAGAATGTAGACAATACTTTTTTGCATAATTATTAGGGCTCGAGTTACATAACCTCGCTTTTTTGTTTATCAATATTTGGAAACTTTTGTACGGTCCATAAGTGTTGTTCTAGATTAGCGCCGTAAAGAAAACCCTTTATTTCCAATTTTACAACGTTAAATAATACTGAAATATTTTGCACTTAGGATTCAAAGATAGAACATAACCTCATTTTCTCCTTGTCAGTTTTCAAGTAAACGGTTTTGGAAGCTTTAATTAAATTAAAGGCCCTTTTAAACAGTTTTTTGTACTTTTAAAAAGGAATTTTATTTTTCGAAAATTAATTTTCCAATATACAGGATGAGTCACATATCACGTTATTTGAACGCGTTCCAATAATCAGTGACGTCATTAAAGACAGGCGTACTCGTCCGCCATTTTGGTTTTGGCGATATTTGTAAATTTTTCTGTTTTTATCGACTATTTATTTTACATAAAATAGGTTAGGGATATCTACAAATAAAACTGATTATTCCTAAACATAGCTGGGAAGTAATTGTAGCTTGACTTTTATTTTTTCCTTGCAATAAGAGAGCTCTAGTTCACATTAAATAAAAGGTAAATTGAGGGTCCTACTCCCAGTTTAGTAGTAATTTTAAAAAGACCAATTGTAATTTTATGCTAAATTGAATTGCCCGAAACTTTTAGAACCAAAATGGCCCCATTGATTACACGCCTTAGCAGACTACGGAACAACGCGGAATCCTTTCAATATGCGTGACAAATTGATTTTATTATAATGTTAAAAGTAGTCGATTGTTTGTCTGGGAGCACCCCTTACAAATTATGGCCTGTAGAAGTCCCAAACAACCAGAATTTTCAAAATCGAGCAACACCTTCAAAAGCTATAGTTCGTTTCACCAATAATTTAACATTTCTCATTCGGTCGTTAAGTAGCGGAAATTCCCACTGCGACATTTAAAACAATAGGACAATAGCCCCCAAGTCAGCGGTTCTCAATAAACTTGTAATTGGGGAAACTCCTTGGAATGTGCCTACCTATTTAATTAATACATTAATATGGTATCAACACGATTATTGTCGTTAATGTCCTATCGACGCATTCCTTAAATATAAATATATCGATTATTAAGGAAATGGGCCGATTTATACGAGCACTACAATTTGGCGTTTGAAACATTAAAATTCTATTGAGAACCGCTGACTTTTAGTTAAATGGGGGCTATTGTCCTATTGTTTTAAATGTCGCAGTGGGAATTCCCGCTACTTAACGACCTAATGAGAAATGTTAAATTATTGGTGAAACGAACTATATTTCAGATTTCACCATATATTTGTAATATTAATTTAAACGGTTAGATAATTGTTTCCAAATTCCAATAGTGCAAGGCCGCCGATATTACCTATTACGGTTAATGCTTCCACGTTTAACGTGTATTCAACCGAAATCAGTCCTTATTTTGCAGTTCCTTGCGGTGTTCGCTCCTGACTTAACGCGGTTAGTTCTTCTAATCCCTTTTTCTTATTGGCTCGTTCTTAATTAATTTTTTATTAATGAATCACTGTTTGGACCTAATCATCCACAATACACAGTGATTTGGGTATTAGTGCTGTGTTCTAGTTTCATGATTTGAACTTTTGTCTAGGAAAGTTAATCGAGAGCGTCAGCTACCCAAGCACGAGGACGAAACCCGTCGCCATTTTGTGCGCGTACAGCAACTTATGGTAAGTGAACATAGGTACATTATTTATGTTTTAAACTGCAATTGTGGGAGAGTTTAATATACGATGTGAAAACTATTTATAAATGTTAGGTTTCAATTATCCAGTATTCAGATTCGTCAATGATAAAGTGTCCAGATTTGCGCTGATACAAACTTTTTTTTAATTTATACAGTGATGTTTATGAAGGAGTAGACATAGGGAGTTACGTGCATTGTTTTTCCTATGTCTACTTTTAAAAGACAAAATCTCTTCTGAAGGACGTATAATTTTATACATCCAAAATAACTTTTTAAAAATATAAATATATCTGATGGCTGTCATATTAATTAGTTTGAATATTATTCCTTTGGCTTAACAAAAAATAGATCTCTTACGCTCCTTAAACTGTTTCCAGCACTACACCAATTGAGAACATCAACTTTTTCTTCAGAAGGGATTTTGTCATTTAAAAGTAGACATACGGAAAAACAGTACATATAGATCCCTATATCTACTTCCTAATAAATAGCATTGTATATCGTCGGACCCTACTTGGGATTACACATGTCAACATTTTGAGTTTTTTTTTAATGAGACACATACATATTATGCATATACGATCCACATTAATGTTTTTAATTTCAAACAGATGAATCTGGATTCAGCAAGCCAAAATGGAGCAATTCTACATCAGCGGAATTCACATTCAGATGGCAGCACATGGATATAGGATAACAGCGTTGCCAATCCTACTGCCATTGTAAGTTTTGCTAATTAGTTACGTCAGGCAAATACAGTAACTTCGATAACTTTTTAATCTTCACAGGGACAGATTAGACTTTGAATTTTTTTTGAGATTTTAATATATTAATATATTAAGCCATGTTAGTCGAAAATTTTATATACTTACCTATCAAGGTTCGCCTTTATTTAATTTTCAAAAAAAAAACAGGCGCTTCTATAATTTCGAAAAGGAATGAGGACGATACTTTTTCCAAAAATAACTTATTCAAACTCGAAAACCATACAACCATTAAAACAGATATTTATAGTAAGTACATAGTACATTTTTAATGAAATTTGTATATAGGTAGGTATTCAAAATCCTCTTTAGAATCGTAGGTACGACTAATAACATTGCATAACCGTTCAGTCCGGTTCACCTTCAACTGCTATCTACTGTAATATTCAAATATTTAAAATTAGTTTCTTAGTGGACATCTACACAATTCTCAGTAAGGACGGTTACATTTTTAAGTCCAATTTATTTGGGTAGAACGTGAAGATTCGGGGGAGCAAATATTTCGAAACGAATTCATGGCTCGGGCTTAATAGGTACCCATTTCGTAAAAACTCAAACCATAATCAGCTAAAAATAATGAAATTTTAAATGGTTGATCAGTCAATAAGACTTTCGTACAAATTGAATTTTGGATTTTGATTTTAAAGATAGGGATTTACGTGTATTGTTTTTCTCCATGTCTACTTCCTCTGAAGGGCGCCGAATTTTATGCAACCAAAATAACTTTTTAAAACTTTAAAGATCTGGCGGTCATATTAATTAATTTGAATATCGTTGCTTTGGCTTCACAGAAAATAGATCTCTTGTGCTTTTTAAACGGTAACCCGCAATTGACAATATCACCTTTTTTTCAGTTGAATACATCGCACATGAACGAAAATAAAACTATGGAAGCCGAAGCAACAAATATTCAAATTAATTAATATGACAGCTAGATTTATATTTTTTTGGTTTATTTGATTTATTTATTTTACCTTTATTTTGGAGTGGGCGCCCTTTAGAAGATATTTTGTTATTTAAAAGTTCGCGATTCAGATTAGCACTGGAGGCGGTGGGGCATTTTTAAAAATATTCTTATTGTTGGTTGCATAATTGCACTGACCACATTACAATTCTTGAAATGACGTGGATAGAAAAAAATTTAAGTAACAAAACATTGTGCTCATATCTTTCTTTGAAATAATTTGTCTCTATTTCTAGCGATCTGCAAATGTTCGTGCCTTCGGGAATGATGATGGTCGGAAGCCATTGCGAAAGCCGTCATATCGTCATCGGCAACTAGATCCTTTGGAGGGAGTTGTGATGGAATACATGATCTGATGGTATGTTCAAAATGTTGTGTATGTGCAATGATTATGGCAATTTTTCTGTGGTCAATATTTTTGTTAATTTTGGTGCGTAGAATCCAAAACAATTCGTACTTTTTCGATCAGACTTCTCAATCAAAAGTTATGGCTAGAAACCAATGTCGAAAAAAATTCAAAGGGGCTGTAACTTTTGAACTAGTAGCCCAATCTTGGAAATGTTTGAAATTATGGATTCTACAGGCCAAATTCAACTGATTCTGATTTATTTCATTAATATCTCGGCTGTATTGAGATACATAGGTACCCATCAAAAGATCTTTTTTAATTCAAGTTCACTTTTTAGGCGGTCTCAAGCAGTACCTACCTCTAAAACGACGACACTTTTCCGATGCGAAGACCGAAGGAACTAGTCACCTCTGCAGTTGTCAACAAAGACCAACATTCTTAGGTAGGACAATGAAATCCTGTCTACACGTTTACTGGATAATCTTATTGTTGTAGGGATGTGTAGGTACTATTCACCACTTCGAATTCGGCGCTGTCATCATCATCATTCCGGTCCATCTGTCATCCAGATTTACTCTGACTATGGTGTTTCACTAGTAACTTCAATTTCCATTTGTGCATGCATATGTTTAAAATTGATAACAAAATATACGTAGGTAGGTATTAAGTTATTTATTTTTTAAGTTATCACTGTTACAAGAAGATCTTTGTAATACAAAAAAGAAACTGTTCATCTCTAGAATAATATTGTACTGCACTTTGCTGGCAGCAGGATATTTTTTTAATTAACAAGATAATCTATATTTAAACTTTATTAGAAATTCAAAAAAATTTGATTTACAAAATGTAACTTTATTGAAAAATAGAATAAAAAAGTTTACAATTTTTTTGTTTTTTTTTAAACATTCCTTTTTACAACTTTTTTGAATTCAAAAAATTTTTTTGACTTTTTATTCAAAAAACTTTTTTGAATCACTTTTTTGAATTCAAAAACTTTTTTGAATCACTTTTTTGAATCACTCGTAACTTTTTTGAATCACTTTTTTGAATCACTCGTAACTTTTTTGAATCACTTTTTTGAATCACTCGTAACTTTTTTGAATCACTTTTTTGAATCACTTTTTTAATTTCTCTTAAAATCTCGTAAGCTTCTCACTTGATACTTGATACTTGATACTGATACTTGATACTTGATACTTGAACTTGATACTTGATACTTGATACTTGATACTTGATACTTGATACTTGATACTTGATACTTGATACTTGATACTTGATACTTGATACTTGATACTTGATACTTGATACTTGATACTTGATACTTGATACTTGATACTTGATACTTGATACTTGATACTTGATACTTGATACTTGATACTTGATACTTGATACTTGATACTTGATACTTGATACTTGATACTTGATACTTGATACTTGATACTTGATACTTGATACTTGATACTTGATACTTGATACTTGATACTTGATACTTGATACTTGATACTTGATACTTGATACTTGATACTTGATACTTGATACTTGATACTTGATACTTGATACTTGATACTTGATACTTGATACTTGATACTTGATACTTACTTGATACTTGATACTTGATACTTGATACTTGATACTTGATACTTGATACTTGATACTTGATACTTGATACTTGATACTTGATACTTGATACTTGATACTTGATACTTGATACTTGATACTTGATACTTGATACTTGATACTTGATACTTGATACTTGATACTTGATACTTGATACTTGATACTTGATACTTGATACTTGATACTTGATACTTGATACTTGATACTTGATACTTGATACTTGATACTTGATACTTGATACTTGATACTTGATACTTGATACTTGATACTTGATACTTGATACTTGATACTTGATACTTGATACTTGATACTTGATACTTGATACTTGATACTGATACTTGATACTTGATACTTGATACTTGATACTTGATACTTGATACTTGATACTTGATACTTGATACTTGATACTTGATACTTGATACTTGATACTTGATACTTGATACTTGATACTTGATACTTGATACTTGATACTTGATACTTGATACTTGATACTTGATACTTGATACTTGATACTTGATACTTGATACTTGATACTTGATACTTGATACTTGATACTTGATACTTGATACTTGATACTTGATACTTGATACTTGATACTTGATACTTGATACTTGATACTTGATACTTGATACTTGATACTTGATACTTGATACTTGATACTTGATACTTGATACTTGATACTTGATACTTGATACTTGATACTTGATACTTGATACTTGATACTTGATACTTGATACTTGATACTTGATACTTGATACTTGATACTTGATACTTGATACTTGATACTTGATACTTGATACTTGATACTTGATACTTGATACTTGATACTTGATACTTGATACTTGATACTTGATACTTGATACTTGATACTTGATACTTGATACTTGATACTTGATACTTGATACTTGATACTTGATACTTGATACTTGATACTTGATACTTGATACTTGATACTTGATACTTGATACTTGATACTTGATACTTGATACTTGATACTTGATACTTGATACTTGATACTTGATAC